GAAAATTGGTACGCATTTTAATAATTTCTACATTGATAATCAAATCTTTTATTTTATTTATTAATTTATGTATTATAAATTATGTAGTGTACTTATTTTCTTACAATTGTCAATAATACATTTTAAATTAGATGATATTATAAAATATTTTGAATTTGTTATTATTTATATAATAAAATAATTATAAAATATTGTTGGTATATAATATTATAGTTAGTTAGGTTGTAATAATTTGGGTTTTTTTAGCGGATTAGGATTTTTTGCCAATTCGAGATTTTAGTGGCCAAATTTCCATCGATTTTGCCAACTCTTTATTGTAGTCCATATATGATTATATAATTAATCCATGATAATTCTATGATTTCTTTTCTGTGATCTAAATTTAATAGTCAACATAAGTTCATACCGGGAAAGAGTATCTCAATATTCACAAATTGATGAAAAAAATAAAAGTTAATAATGTAGTATCCTCATTTCTTATTGGATTCTTAAAAAACAACATTTATAATGAATTTTAATAATTTTTTCGGATTTTTTTAAAGCTTTGATTTTGACCGAGCAGTCGATACCTGATCCGGATCGCCGATTCACCGATTCGGATCGGTTGTTAAGGTGCCCGATCCAGGTCACCGATCCGCTTTTTAAACGTAATATAATTTGGAGTTGGCTACATGATTTTTAAAACATCGCTTTGGATAGAGCGCATTTACTATGTTTTCGCCGGTGCAAGAAAAATCGGGCGGTTCAAACCAGAATCGCCAGGTTAGATCAAAAGTGAGCCGGATTGGATTGGTTTTGACGAATTGGTTGGGTATTTTAAAAAACAAAATTAAAAAAAGTTATAAAAAATCTCAAAAAATAAGAGATTTTGTTTGTAATGCATTTTTTTTTTTAATGTTTTTCATCATTTTGGCAAAGATTGAAAATTGTTTTGTCCACCAATATTTATTTTTACATTTTCCTATTTTTTTTAAAAAATTTCAAAATTAACTCTAGGCCCAAATCAATTTTTTAAAATCTATATTTTTCATTAATTTTCAACTTCATTTGGATGAACTTTGTTTAATTATGCTTTAAATATAATTTTCATATTTGATTAATTCTTTTTTATGTTTTTTATTTTTAACACTTTTTTGATTGCCCAGGGCTTGTCCGATTAGGCCGGTTCAACTGACCAATTTACCGGTTAGTACCGAGTAACTGCTCCATCCGATTAACGATTCTGGTTCGATTTGTCCTACACTAGTTTTTTCGCATAAGCATACCATACGTCTACTCCC